CAAATGGGGCCCGCCCGCGGTCGCAAACATCACGAAACCAGCAATCATGAGAACTTTCAAAACAGCCCGATATACATTAGAGACTCTTTTGCGAAGGCGAAAATTAGAGTCTTTTAGCCTCTCTTGGTACTTAGCGCGTCACAGCGCAGGATGCATGGGGCCAGGCTGGCAGATACATGCTGCGCCTGACGCGTTGGCACTTCAAGCCATATGTTAAACATATGCCGCTGACACATGCCATTGGCGATGCCAATGCGACCCCTCGATCTGCCAGAGCGAAAAACAAAGCGCTGAGAGTTTTCGACATAGCTGAGCGCGTGAAGGTTTTGCATGTGAGGGTCTTTGCGTGTCTCGGATTTGGGATTATTCGCTGCTCGGCAGATGCAAGTGTCGCATACTTCAATAAGCATAGACTTGCGGGGTTATCCGGCCCTTTAATTTGAGCTTCCAAGGCCTCAAAAATAAAGACCTTACAGCATTTTCTGCTTCTGAGCACAAAAAATGCTGTAAGGTCTCTACTTTTTGTGCTTCTAAAGCCTCAAAATAGAGACCTTACAGCATTTTGCACACCAGAAGCTGACAATGTTGAGAAGCCTTTTTTTCCATCCATCACAGCTCGTCTGGAAATCTGCAATCACTTCTCGGCATGCAGTGCCCGCAGCATCTGTCCAGTTGCTGTCCACAAGTTAGACTGCATGTGCCAATACTCCCACTGCGCAGGCGGATCTTGCGTGTGAGGGCCTGGCTTCCGGGCACACGGGCATTAGTCTTCAGCTTTGCCCGTAGCGTTCCCCAGAATCGATCTATGATCTGGGTGCCGCTCTTTACAGCAAAGGAAGTGCCGTCAGGAAGCTTCAGGTGGTACACCTTGGTATAGTGGTATCGGGCCATGGTTTTCCGATCAACTCCGTCCACCTCCGTGACGGCTTTGACTGCAGCGGGGTGTTCGAGGTTGAGATTCCCGTCGTCAAAGACCCGGGGCTTCGTCTTGCGGCCCTTCTCCTTGCGGAAATAATCCAGATGATTGGCCGTCTGGAAACTCGGGGACTCGTTCCTGTCTTCCTGAATCAACCAGTATGCCGAGACCACGGAGGACAGGGCGTAGGAGACCGGGCTCTTCCCCACATGGGATTTACCAATCCAGACAACAGAATGTGACAATGGTGTTCGCTTGGGAGCCTTGATCTGCGAGCACCCGCAAGAACTCAAAGGGCCATTGGGGTCGTTCACCTGTTCTTCTGTCCAAGCGGCGAACTGACCCTTGGAGTTCTCCTCCGGCCCCTGCTCACGAATGAAGTCAAACCCCTTCCTGATATCGGCGGTCTCCAGGGGCTGCTTGTTGGGGACGAGCTTCTGATACCGGACTTGGAAGCCGCCTAAGCCCTCCAGCATGTACTGTAGAGCACGGCCTCCTTCCCTGAACTTGCCCTGAAGGTCGACCTGAAGAGCCTGGCCATGGCACATCCGCAAAATTGCGCTGTGCAGGACCCTGGTGCCGTCCACGAACTTCACGTGCTTGATGATGTCGTGCTTGTTGGAGCCTTTGGGCACAATGAAGAGCTGCAAGTTGTAAGGCACGAGGTTGTTGCCTTTCATGCCGATCGGTGCAGGCAATTCAGCATACCGCTGTTGCAAGAAGAGAGTTTCCAGAGCCTTGAAATCCAGGGCGCCTTCGTAGTCAGGTATGACATCCAAGAACTGCACTGTCTCCTTGATCTGTGAGTTCCATTTTGGCCGGGAGGTCACCCAGCCTCACAAAGCCCGCTTCCTTATGCACCACCATAGGCTTCTCCAGCTGGAGCACCTTCATGCCCTCCGTGCAGGCTGTGGCCTCCTCGAACGCGCAACGCCCGTCAAGATTGGCGGCGTCCATGCTTTGAGCGAGAGACTGAGGTCGGTGAGGAGCTTGGCTTGCCATTGCTAGAAGAATGCAATAAGCAAAGAGGACGCAAGTATGATTGCCTAGTTGGCTTGGTGAAGGCTGCGGCAGACCAGGGACATTTGACAGACCTGTTTGGATGGCTGTTTAATTTGCGGAGGACCTTGTGCGTGCAGGCTTGTTTGCAAGCGGAGGTAGTCTTCTTAAAAGACAGGGCCATGTGCGTTCAAGTTGACACACTTGCTTTGCAGGTCAGGCAGCGCGCTTTTTTCCCTTTTTACTCCAGTGTCAGAAAAATGCCCAAGGCACAGAAAATCTAGCCATGTGGCTGCCGGCTCTCACTTAATGATGAGCTGCACCTCGTCGGCGTTCAGCTCCGTCTCGCCATCAGCATCCACCTTGAAGAGGATGCCATCGAACTCAAAGACTTCAGAGCCTCAGGCAGGGGAAAGAAAGACCGGGCAAAGAACGGCCGACAAACATGAGCTTCAAGAAAACGCTCCTTCTTTAAAGAAGATCATCGAACACCAGGCCAAGGAGCCGTTGGGAAGTTGACCTTCGTGGGCCATGAAGCAGGCCCAGAGGGGGCACTTGGCCCAGGGGTATGGCTCCATTGCTGGAGGGCCCACAAAACTTCGCGGGGAAGTACTCCATGAAAGGCAGTGGCAGACATAAGTGAGTCTGCCGAAGCGAATGATCTAACAATTTGCTAGGCCGGCCAAAAACTGCAGTATGCTGCTTTTGCTTTCCAGGTGCATGTGCTGCATGTAAGGCATGACAGTTGCTCCTGCCAGATTGGCCCTGCATCTCAGATGGTTGGACAAGCAGAAGGTTGGCCCTGCATAGCAGATGGTTGGACCTGCTTGGACAAGCAGAAGGTTGGCCCTGCATAGCAGATGGTTGGACCTGCTGGGCGTGGATCATGGGGAAACATATATATATATATATATATATGTATGACATAAGTGAGCTGGGCTCACGCATTTCGTGCTTGAAATACGATATGAGTTTGTTTGAAAATGAGGCGCCCTCCTATTGCTTCATGGATTTGGTAAGAGCCTGTTTTCCTCTTGCCCACTGGGAGGTATATAAACCGTTTTTGGTACACTAATATGAGGCAAAGGGGCAGGGTGTTTCCATCGTGGCCCTTCCTTGTGTTTCCTTTGCCGATTTTTTTTGTCAACTTCTGCGAAACCCGAAATGTCTCTGCAGAATTGTTCACATGCGGTGCAAGAAGCTACAACGTGCATTCTGGTTGGATATGGGGCCCGTGCTCTTGAGCAAGGTGTAACTGCCGTTACAAAGCAGCGCAAACATCCTGAATTCCCCCCCTGAAGCCATCAGCAAAGACTGGCGCAAACTCCGGTCGAAAACCGCTTGCAGCGAACACTGCAAGCGAGCATTCGATGACGAGTAAGACAAAACAAAAAAATCATGGTCTGGCAGCCTTGTCCTCTCTGACATTGATACATAAAATGAGTCGGGTCCCCGTAGCAAGCGGTCAATCGGGTTGATGATTGGTCTCGGGCATCATACAAAATATTTTAGCAGCCGACAGTTCATTAACAGCATTACGCAAGGCAAGTGGGTCGAATAATTGGAAAATATTTTGCCAAATTCATTAACGTCTGGCATGAATCATAACTTAGCCCCGCACTGCCAACAGATTTGCCCTCAATTGTTATATAAATTTTCAAATAGTACTTGATAAAAAAATAAGACGAGCATCTTCATACAAAGCTTTAATTCACCTCGAGCATCCATATTCCCCACCCCACTTAACTGACCTGCTCAAATCAAAGGGCGCAAACACGAAGAATCCAGACCATCCGCCAAAAGCTTGGAAAACTCTCGATAAAGTAGCATCATAATTTCGCCCAAGCCGGAACAAAAGTTAGTGAGCAAAGACCATGGAAAGACAAGGAGTTTCGGGCCAAACGATAAGCAACCACGCGTGCGCGTGCGCGTGCAACCAACTTCTTTCGTGAACGCCAAGGTCTGGAGGGCACCGGCCTTGATGATGCGCGTCGCGCGTGAGAGTTGAGTTCGGGCCGCTTGCTGAGCGGAAGATCTGACACATGCTGAAGGTCCAATGCGGCACCAGAAGACGTCTTTCCGACGAAAGCCGCTGAGAAGCTTGCTTCAGAAACGCCTGTAGCTTTGGGCGCGAGTGCGAAACTCGCAGAAAAAGAAGAGGGTTGCTTGAGGGCGTGAGCGGGATCGAGGGGGGGGACCCTAAGCAAAGCTAGACCGGCAAGAGATCAGTCATGGTGGAGCAGGTTTTGCCCACTCGCTAGCAACGACATGTCAAAATCCTAGATGAGCCGTCAAACTGGCTGGTGCTAGGCGCGTGTAGTCAATCCGTGCCCCATTAAGGCTTGCGCTTAGTGTCCCGTGCCTCACTTGGAAAGGCTTGTTGGGGTTTGCGCATCGCGAGAAGCGTGTGGTACCAGAAAAAGCCTACGAGGGCTCGTGGAACAAGCTAAGTGTCTGTGTCCAACTTGCAGACGGGTCTTGGAAAAAACCAAAAATACCTTTTCTCACTCCGGCTTCGCTTACCGTTCAAAGTGGTCACATGAGCGTTGGTTTTAAGGCCCCTTAAGTTTGATTGGACATTATTCAAGCTTCCGCAAACCCTTCCGCATCCTTTCCACGGGCCAAGAGTCGGTCCCTTCCGCGGACTTCCGCGGGACATGCTTTCCATCATTTGCTTCCACAAACCTTCCGCGGCGAAAAGTCAATGGTGGCTACATCTTTACGAGATTAGCAGCCAGGAGCAAGCGCATGTCAAATGTATGCAGCAAACCCTGATGGCTCCCGGAAGCTAGTGTCTGGTTTCCAGCTTTACAACACAGCATTCCTTTCGACTGACAGGGCTGCCTTACCGACGCCAATTGGCAGGACCCCGCGCATTTTACATGCGTCCGTTGGCGGACTATGCCGCCTCCAAACGGTGGGAAAACATGGTCCTAGCCATGTTGCTGTTGGGAATGACCCCAATAACCATCCAACTGGTGGTTTCCTTTAAGGGGACCAATTCCTGGGTTCATTCCCTCACTCCCTACCTATCGCACCGATCGCAAGATTGCAAGCCCGCGTTTCAGCTCGCGTTTCCCGGCGCCTGCACAGCGCGCAGGGAGCCGAGCTTCATGGTGGCCAGTGCTTCCTCCAGCCCTTCCGTGACGCCCTGACGCGTCAAAAAAACAATCCGTGAATGAATCCGCGGAGTCCTGGAGTCCAACTTGGCGGCTCCGCTGTATGATCCAAATTCGTGCAAACGCGTTGGGCCGATTTCCCCAGCAGCTCGTGTTAAATCCGCTTGCTCCAATCGAGCGGATTTCTTGACGTCCATCCAAACAGCGCGGAAAAGGCCCAGCCCCCCAGCCCCTCAGCCCGGGGTTTTGGGATGGCCTCCGGCATGGTGCCCAGGGAGAAGACCAAGGGCGCGCCGTCATCGTAGGTGTTCATGAAGATTGGGTCCCCCTTCTCCATGAGGTATCCTTCAGCCAAGCTCATGGCCACCCGTGTCTCTGGAAGATACCCCTTTTAGCTGGTAGAGTCACAAACAAACCAATGGAAAATCGAAGCCGATGTTGAGCTTTCACAATTTCTGATAAGTTCACTGTGGATGGACAAAATCCACTTCGCACCGGTTGGGTAGTTCCCGACCAGCACGATAGGGTTTCATCCATCCCCACCGGTGCTGGTTTTTGCATCTTCATGGCAAAACCGCCGTAGGAGTCACATGGTGAAAATCACACGAAGCCCTTCGGCACGGCTTAAGAACACTTCAAATCCGGGCCTAGGCCTAGGCATATATGTGCCCAAACGAGCGAAGCCTCTTGGGCTCGGGTCAAGCCAAGATGCCCTTGACATGCAACAGCACCGTGTCACCCATCTGGGGCACCTGGGTGCCATGAGGACCAAAAAGAAGTTTTTGTTCAATGAAATGGCGATAGCTGACTGAGCAAACCACATGCCATCTTCTGCAACCACTTTCACCCAAACCGCTTTTGCAGATCTAATCAACCCACACACACACACACATTTGGAACTCTCCCTCTGGATCCAGTTTTGAACCACCACAAACAGGCCTCGAAAAGGACACCCGCATGAGTTCCTCACCGAACATTCGGAACATGGCACCTCGCCACGACCCACTCGCAAGTCCAGGTACTGCACGCCCGAAGCCAACTTCACTACCTGAGCCGATTGCCACACGGGTGCTGCTTGGGCGCACCTGTCAAGGGTGACCCCCGCCTTCAAAGGGGGTGGACCCAAAAGGGGGCAAATCTTCGCAAACTGCTTAGGGATTCCCAGCGCCTCGGATCCATCTTCCAGCTTCTTGCGCTCTGCAACCTGCAGCACGTGTCATCGAAATCCAAACGAAATCCTCCACATGGCACATCTCTCTTAGCCTGGCCACGCGGCTCTCGCGCAGCGGCTTGGCGCGGGAGCGAGCAGGAGCGAAAAGGCCTGGATGCGTTGGACGTGGAAGCAATGGGGCCCGCGGACGACACCCGTCCCATGCGCCTAGTGCCACTACCAGAACACCTCGCCGGTAGAGCTCTCTTGCTCCTGCCAAACGTCAGGGATGTGCCACTGGCTATCAAGAGCGGGGGAAAAATCAAGAGACGTTCTCATACCCAGGGTTCCACTAGTTGACTACTCCAAGATAGACTTAGAATCAGGGGTTCTCCTGTGGGGGGGAATGAACCAGCCCTGGGTTCAGGTCCCTAGGGTAGTCAATTTGTAGAACCCTGTTGACAGCTCACATGTGACTGAGCAGCACGGCACCTCTTCTTGCCACATGCGGCTGTCGAGTCTGCAGCCCAAGCGGTCGATGAGTAACTTGCGGAGCGGCTTCGATCAGCGGCATGGCTTGCATCGATGCTCAGGGCTCTCTTTTTGGGGCTCATGTCCTTTTTCACTTGGCCAAACCAGAGGCCCTGGTGTTGCAAATCCGCCGCCTGAAAAAAAAACAAAACAAAAACATGTTTTCCCACTTACTTGCATTGGCGTACCAACTTCACCTAAACGGCTTGCGCGATGCAGTTTGCAATGTAATCTCCAGTTTCGAGCGGGCTTGTGCGCCTCTGAGCCGTGATTGCACATCCCGGCGCAAGGCTTTAGCGCGCGTTGCCAGGTTAGCTTCGCCTTTCCAAATTTGAGACCCCCCCAAAAAAAAGAATCTTAGGCAACCAATCAAGAAGGGGATCACCCTTTAGGCACAACACCTCGCGACACCCGGGACTCTTGCAGCGACGGGCGAGCAGCTGCTGGCGGCCCTATGATTTTGTGCCTACCTGCAGCCCGCCAAATGTTCCGGCAGGCCACGCAAAGGACTCTGGTCGCTGAGGCCTCGCTCTGGAAACGAGGAAGCTTCCGGGCACCGTTGCGCTAAAAGGAACTGATGGACGAATACTGTTGGGAGGGTAGCTGGTTTTGACCCGCTCCCACTTGGGTATGACTCTTATTTGGGCACCCGTTCGTCATGTAGGTGGGGATTTATGTCCGCCCGCCATCTGAAAGATTGCTCCCATTAAAATGCAGAGCCATCTCGCTGCATCTTCAAGCTGTCTCTGAACCTTCCCCACATCTAAACACAAGTTCAAAAGGACCTGGTGCGCAAGCCTCATACGGCCATGGGTCACCCGTACCCCCGGTGAACATCCCAATCCCCACTAAAATAGGTCCTAAAATGGGTGGTGCACCTACCCCAAAATGGTAACCATTGGTTTTGACCCACAGCCATATCTTCCTCCGATTTCTGTTCGAACTCCGGGGCTCCAGCCCCGCCGTGCTCATCGCATCTCGGGTCTCTAGCTGCGCCACCAGGCGACGGCGCTTTGAAGGCCCTCCAGGGCGGAGCTCAACGCGTTCTCCAGCTGCGCGCCCGCGCACTGCTGGAGCACCTGGCGTTTGCATTCTAAGGGAGGGGGGGGGCTTGATGAAAAAGGACCAAAAAGGAAGCCGCCGGTTTGAGGGATCCCGCACTTTGACACATGCTAACGTTGGAAGAGTTCTGGTTACCAGTTTCCTCTTGCAGGGACCCTGCTGGCAAGGTTTCACGTTAGAGAAAGTCTCGCAGAGCGATTTGTGTTTGCCCTGTATTTCCTTCAGTGGCCAGGGGAAAAACGGCACTTTTTGCGGACTCTGCACATGCCCCCCTATTTGAGGAAAACGATGGTTCTTGCTTCAGAAGGTATGGTCACTGCAAGACTCTTGGAGCCCTCAGGCGGACGCTAAAAAGGAATGTGTCTGGGGGACTCCTGAACGCAAGCCGATTGAAGTCAAAGGCTAGGACCTGGAATCCATGTTTCAGAAGGCTAGGACCTGGAATCTGCGCACATCAAAGAAGAAACATCAATACTACCAAGAAACACGCTTGGGGTTAGTACATTGCGGAACTCTGAGATACATTCCAAGAGGTCGTAGCAGGAGGTCAGATGTGATGCAACAAGGCAAAGAGGCGTCCTGTTTTCAGACACGGGATGCAAACACTCCGCGCTGACATCACCGGAGCCTCCTCTGTCTCAATCACGGGTGTGGTCAAAGCCCGGCGCATACGTCGAGTTGTCAGCGCATGGACAGCCTCTCCACTCTCCATACCTAGGATTCGGATGGGCACCCTGCCGCACAACTGCACAGCATGATTGATCAGGACGAGGCGGCGGAGCTAAACACAGGCCAGGCAAAGCAAATGTTGTCGCAAAAAGTAAGTGCGAAAACGGAAAGGCAAAGTGCCACCCCTTTTTAACCAAAGGACATGTGTCACAGTTCGTGGGGGCACACACACACACACTCAGTTCCTGTCCTCAAGATTGGCACCGCTCGGCTGGTGTCGAATGGGAACATAATAGGAAACAAACCGCTTTCTTTCAGGGTCTGGTCCTATTTTAGAAAAACAAAATGCAATGTTCGGTGTGGTGTTACGCAGTTTCCGGGAAGCATGGGCAGGTTGGCTCATTTCCCTCCTGTACTGGACGGTTTTCATCCAGCACGTCATTGGACGGTTCAGACCATAGGCACAAGTCCGGACATATTCACAGATGACGACTTCGTCGGCATGACTCGCATGCTCCTCACAGACCTCCCGGTGGCTCCTTAGCTCCCTCTTCAAGCTCCTTGATTAGGATACCGTCAGCTCCTTGAATCCTTGCCAGCTAAGACCACATAGGGCGGAGAGTGCCGAAACGAGCAAAAGCCTTGCAAAACCACTCAATGTTGACACTTACAACCTTTTGAAGAAGACTATACACAAACACAAGTACCACTTGTAAAGTTAACACCTATGGAACACTCAGCACGCCAGAAAAATGGTTTCCTTTGGATACACTGTACTTCCAAACGTGGCGTCAGGTTGCCCTGCGCGCTCTGCGCCAGCGATTCCGCGAAGGCGGCGGAGTAGTTGGCGCTGGCACAGCGCGGCTTCGCCACGGAGGCTCCGTCGACGGCCCACGGCTCTTGCTGGGCCCAAGCGATGCACAGCAGCAAGGCCTCGGGACTTGGGCGGAAAGCTGTCCCCACGCGTTCTCACGTGGGAAAAAATCGCATGTGAAAAGTGGCAAAACCAACATGTCCATGGGGTTGGTTGGTGAAAGCTATGGCCTGTTTTGGCTTGGCCCAGAAACCAAAAGGTGAAATGCAGGTTGACATAAAAACAGGGTCGCCCGATCAAATGGCTCCATCTGCTGATGTACCCTAAAAGGAAGGGGAAAGGAATGATAAAGATACACTAGAACGGTAGGTCGCGAGTGACACAAAAAGGGAAAAACCTCCATTGGTTTCCTTGTGGCCTGCACAAAATGAGAACCTTCCGACTGGTTTCTGGATCCGGGGGTCAATAAATCTCAACATTCCCAATAATCAGACCCATTCCACAAATTGAATCAGAAACAAATAGTCAACAACCAACCCGCATCCCCCAACAACTGCTGCTTCCATTGTAAATCCCCAGCCCAAAAAGCAGCGGTTGGCTGCTGGAAGGTTTCTGAAATTGAAGTCGTGGCTTCCCTCCCCAAACCGTCAATCCAAACCACCAATTGAGGCCGGTGATGCCATTCCCTGTCCCACCCTTCACAAACCAAGAGGAAGCTTGCTGGTTACCTACCTCTGGCCTCAGATCCCCGCAAACTTCAACCTCTGGGCGAAATCTGGCAACTCCACTTGTCCAAAAAGCAAAAACCAAAAAAAAACACCCGAGCCCAAAGAAAAAACCCGAACTGGAGCCAGCTGTCCAGTTTCCGGGCGCCCGGAGACGCGGCACTCTGCGCGCCTCGCAGGCGCGCTGCAGCTCCCAGGCCTCCGCCGCGGCCGCGGCGGCCGCGGAGGCGGAGAGCTGGGCGCCCTGGCGGCGTCGGTCGGCGTTCGCGGCGGTCGGCGGCGGGTCGGGGGTGGGGTGGGGGTGGGGCCTGGGGCACCCCGAAGGCTTGGAAAAGCTGGCCACAGGTGGGGCACCCCGAAGAGCCACCCATCCATGTCTTTGTGGCGAGTGGCGGTTTGGTGTTCAGGGGTTTCCCATTCGCCCCGTGTCTTTGGAGGAGCCGATCAGCTTGCTAAGTGGTTTGGATTGGTTTGGTGGAAGGGGCGTCCCAGTAGCCCTAGAACCAGAGGTTCAAATCCCCAAACCACCAATCCAAACCAGCAACTAAAGCTTGCCTGATCCTCAGTCTTACCAAAACAACACACAACATGACTTTGTCAGGCGCTGACCTCAACTTGCTTGCTTCCCAAAAAGGCGCGACCCCAGCTGAACCTTTTCCTTTTCTGCGAGTAGTTGTTCCTTGACTTTGTTTGCGGTTCTAGTTTCCGAATACTTGCCAGGTCTCTGTTGCATTGGCTTGCACTTTGCGTTGCTGCTATGGATGAGTGCATCAGTGCACAATTGAATGCTAGTAGTGCTTCGTCTGCTGAACGTGTTTACTGTATGGCGTACCTTACTTGGGCCACCATATTCGAGCGTGCGCCTGACCTGGATTATTCTACGCCTTTCGCTTCAAAACAGTGTTAGAGCTCAGTAGATAATCCGCTTTCTTGAACTGAAGAACATCAAGCGTACTTGCGGTTTGCTTTTCACACTCACTAATCGATCGCGTTGTGATGTCAGCTGCTTCTTAGCCTTGAACAGATGTTGATCGCGGTGTCTCTCTTGCGTTCTTTCCGTGTTCTTGGGGAGTTCTCACCGTAATTTCTCACTGATTCACCAGCCCGAGGATGTACCTTATTGATCGAGTCTTCCTTTTCTTTCAAGGTTGCAACTGCCCACTTACCCAACGGTAGTCTTTGCTTTTTAATGTCTCAAAAAACAAACATGTTTTATCACATGTGTTGCCAGTTTGAGGGTGTGTCCACTTTACATTGTGTGTACATTGTTTTGATTGGTCCGTGAAAACTAAAAAGCAAGCGGAAAGCGGGTGGGGTTCATGGAAGCCACTCAGCATGCTGGACCTCCACTACCCGGCAAATACACGAACTCTATAGACATACGCCAAGTACACAGACGCATGCATGCAGGGCTGCACGTGTGCAAACAACCACAGACACAAACACACAATTTGAAGTGCCTCATGTTATCAGTTTCAAACACCTACTCAAATGCGTGCGTCTCCTTGCAAGCGCAAGTTCCATGTGTAATTGTCAATTCTCAGTTGCTGCTAGGTTCGCAGCGTAATTCACAAAGCTTGTGTGACGAATCAATTAAAGGCAATGCTGTTGACAGTCTCCATCTCTTCCAAAGAATGGGGTTGTTCACAAACATGTGCATGAAAAGGGAAAAACTTTACACATGTCGAACGGCTTTGGCAACCATTTCCCCCGCAACTTGCTCCTCAGCAATCACCAGGGTCGGACCGGAGCAAGGGCTTTTGCTCAGCCCCACATAAATCAAACGGAAGGTGCCTGGACGCTGGCACTTTTTTTTCGCCAATCGCTTTCCATGGCCACGTTTGCTGTGCAGGGCGTGTCCTCCGAGTCTTAAAAATGGGGGGGGGGGGGGGGCGTGTTCCTTCTTCGGCACCCTGCCAAAGGTAACTTGCAAGAACTCAAAGGAAAATCCACACATCCGAGTTTGCGGCCCCCAAAAAAGATATGCCCGAAGCAGAAAAGGGATGTACACCCTTGCAGCAAGCCTAAGCCTACAAGCTTTGCACGAGAGGTTGCCACATTGAAAGCTTCACAAGCTGCACATAATCGAGTTTTCGCTTCTGGTATTGGGAAGAACGAAGATGTGACAACCACAGAAGCAAGCGCTGCAGCTTGTGCGCAGCTAGCTTGCGCTGTTAATTCGCGCACTCTCATCTGTTGAGCGCTGTTGTCTCCATGATGCAGCTGTTGGCCCTGTGCAATCTCTGTAAAGTACTGTAAAAACTGCAGCCCGCGCATGCACCCTCGTCCACTAAGCTGTAACACAGCTAATTCCCCTGATCAGGCCGTCAAGCCGCGAGGTAGTCACATGCGACATTACTGGCGCCAAACTTTCCGCTCGTTGCCCACCATGCCATACCCGGAGAGCGGCTTCTGCACGATCGAGACAGAGCCTCCCTGGTGGCGGATGCCAACAACATACCTGCGCCAAACGCAGCTTGTGCAACAATCCGCGTTGAATCCCGTTCGACGCAACAAAGCGCTGAAAAGATAGAAGCGCATACGTGGGTGGCTGATTCAACAATGAGAGAGCAATGCTTGGCTTCCCTTTTACGCGCCCTGAATGCCGGCAGGATACCTCACCTCACGCCCGATGTTGTTGTGAACGAGGAGGTGGCAATGGTGGACCGCCTGGAGCTCGTTGTGGTCAGACCTCTGCCCCGTCTGGTACTCAACCCACATCCTCACTTGCAACCAAATGGGCTGGGCAAAGCTAACTTGATGCCAGGGCTCCCTCAGTGTATGCGCGCAAGCATGAACACATCATGATGTGTGAAAATGCAGACATATATATATATATGCTACCCCCCCCCCCCCCAGGGACCTGGCTGCCTCTCCAGTGCATGAATTGCCCATCTAGGACTGGGAGGAACGATCTCTCAACTAGGACCAGGACCAAATGAGACTAGAACCCAGGATCTCTGAACTGGGACTAGGACCAAACTAGGACTAGACGACCCACCTCAGATTCTTACAAAAAATGAACTTCAAGTATAACTTCCTCTGCAATGTCCTGTATATGTTCTAATTGTTGCAGCAAACTAGGAAGCAACCTAACACTGGAACCAAGGATCTCTCATCTAGGACCAAACTAGGACTAGACCATTTAATTCTACTTCTTATAGTATTTGGATGTCAAGTATTACATTCTGGTGGAAAAAAAGTCCTGTTTAATATTTGGTCCTAACATGTAAATTCTGACTGGATATTCTCCTTATTTCAAATTCAATTGTTCAGCTAGAAGTTGCATGGAACTTGACTAATATATTAACTACAATTCATAACGAACTTCCTTTGTAATGTCCTTTATACGTTCTATGTATTTCAGTAAGCTGGGACCATACTTGGCCTATAACCCAGGATCTCCCAACTAGGACTAGGACCAAACTAGGACTAGCTAGTTCTGAAAGTGATTGAATTTCAATGTACAAAGGTCTATTGGACAGAAAATAGTTTGTACCATTTAATTTGACATAAACAGTCAATATTTAAGTTCGAATCTAAATCGCAATGTTGGCTGGAGTATGTCCTTCTTAAGCTCCATTGAATTTCAATCAGAAATAAGCTTGAATTTGATAAAACATACTAAGTGGAATGCATAAGGAAAGAATCCAAAGGTCCCAAACTTGTGTTTTTCACTAGTCCTATCACTACCTTGGCCAGAAAACACCGTAAAACACAGTGTTGTGTAGCGTTTTTCATACTCAATTCACATCTCCACCAACGAACGCTCTCTAAATGCTCATTTGAACTTGAACAGGATTTAATTGGGACTCAATACGGAAATATTTGGTCAGAATCCTAATGGTAATCAAATTTGAGATTGCGAGTTTAAATAGAGTTCCTTTCCCAATATATACTTGCAATTCAATATGAGCTTTAACAGGATTTGATAAGGAAAGAACCCATATTCTCTAGACAAGTCTTCTTTGCAAACGCGAGTCCAGGCCCGAGTGAAACCCATTGAGACCGACTGAAATTTCAGTTGAGCCTGGGTTCAAGATTCCCTAGAAAACTTTGACCTGCAATCTTGAATGTGGGCCTAGATTGAAACAGATTGAATGAATAATCAGGACTTGGATGCTTGCACAACACTGTGCTAAAGTACAGCCGCGCAAAGTGCAATGTTGAATTTGGGTCTCGATTTAAACCGATTTAAACCGATTTAAGTTTAAAACGGGCATGGATTCAAGATTCAAGACTCAAGAATCCAGGCCAAACTTTTCCAGGGAGTCTTGAATCTTGAATCTTGAATCCATGCCCGATTTAAGTTAAATCGGTTTAAATCGGTTTAAATCGACGCCTGGATTCAAGAATCCCTGGAAAAGTTTGGCCTGGATTCTTGAATCTTGAATCTTGAATCTTGAATCCATGCCCGATTTGAATTAAATCGGTTTAAATCGGTTTCAATCAAGCCTGAAGCTTCCAGAACGTCCTTGGAAATGCTTCTTTTTCATTGCTCTCCCCAAAGCCCAAAAAAGGGTAGAACACACTGCAAATACCAGTGAATTCATCAAAAAGGTAGGTCCCTGGGGGGGGTACCATATATATATATATATATATATATATATATATTATACACACATGGAGATCTACACATATGTATATACACATATGCGAAAACATATCCTTACTCACAGAACACCCCTGAACGACGTTGCTCCCCACGCCCCCAGTTGAGAAGCCCCCCGCGACCCAAAACAGCTGCTGGACTGTCCGACCCCCGCCCCTCCAGCCAAGCCTAAAGACCCCAAATCAAGCCCCCAGCCAACTCTAAACCAGTCCAAAAATGCCCTTAGCAAACCAAACCGTGTGCAGGGGGGGGAGCAACAGCACCAGGCCCACCTTTTTAGCAATCACCTGCTACGACTGCACTTTTTGGACGAGTATGCATATGTTTATATATACAGTGTTTTTCTTTTGATATATATATATATATGTAGAAACATTGTTTGCAATTGCTTCAAACATAAAAGGATCGTTTGACTATGGCTCAAAAACAAGCGGCACACGCCAACCAACGGCTCTCAAAAGCAGCTTTCTTTCTGCAACGAAGCATCTGCTCCAGGATTAACGCGTGCTGTGGCGCATAGCGCTGCCACCAGGTTCCTTGCGCGTGGATGCAGCTGGCCGAGTCTCGCTTGTCATCCGTATTTCTCCTCCCGGCATCAAACCTCCAAACCCCCGGCGTGACATGCCCGAGCCCCCCCGCGTGCAACGCGTCCACTGCTGATGCCGGCTCTGCCCCCATGCCCAGAAGCTGCGAAAAGGCCTGCAGGCCCGGCGAGCCGGCTCCCTCCACCACAATCTTCTGCGCCATCTGCTGGAAAATCTGGTGGCCCGCTGAGGCTTGTTGAACCATCCAGGGCTGTTCACCAGTCTTCTCGGCAGCTTGTGCCTGCGAGGACAAGATTTCCTTGACGCCGTTCCAATCCCCCTTTTCGATGAGAAGGTGCAGGCTGGGGAACTCCACTGTCTCGAGGGTAAGGAACAAGGTGTGGCCTTGCTGCTTCCTGTGGACAACTCGGAACTTCGTGTAGGGAGGGAAAAGCACCTCGGACTCGTTTGGATAGTGGGAAAAGGCCTGGATTCCGGCTGGCACGAAGAGGTCTGAAGTCGTAGCATCATCTGAGCCATTCAAAGCCTCCAGTGTCTTGTTACAATGTATTTCGAAGATGGTGTTGCCAGAGAAGTTGCATCCCTTGGCGCTGGAGGTGGAGCTAAAGGCCCTCCAGGTAAGGAGGTGCTGCTCTTGGTACTTCGCCTGATCCTCAGCAGACAGCTGCATGCCGCGCCAAACGGTTCCCAGGAAGGGCTTCAGCACCGACTGGTTTTGCTGCATGGATGCGAAGGCAAAAGGTTGCACCGTTTCCTTGATCAAGAGGCCGTAGTGTGCCAAGCCAGTTGGGGAATCCTCACGGAGAGCCTTGTTCATGCCAGCATAGACTCGGTTTCCGCTGTAGAGCCTGATGGCCCTCACTTGCCGCTCTTTGCTTCCCACCGGGTGCAATGCAATGCCAGCATCAAAACTGTCGGATGCAGTCACGCCGGCCGTCTTGGAGGTTCCTTTCAACACATACTTCTCAAAGTTGGGAGACAGCTCGGCCGTGTTGGTGTCACATCCTTCTTTTCCCAGGTCTAGCGCATTCTGGTGGCTGTCCAGCTGCGCATTCTGGTGGCTGTCCGGCTGCGCATTCTGGCGGCTGTTCCTCTCCACGAACCCCCCGGAGACAACGATCAAAGGTTCCGACATATGTTGGAAAAGCCTTGCACCTTGCAGCCAATGCAGTGCGCTCGAGCCCTAAAAACTTCTCCTTGCCTATGGCTCCGGGTCAACCTGAGGCATTGGACTACGCTCACATGCGCTCCTCTGCCAAATGGAGATTCTTGCTGACCCGTGAGGCGCTGACCTCTCGAATTCGAATTCTGCGTTCAGCTCCAAGAAAACCAAGGCCTGATCGACATCCCATGTCAAATGCCATGTCTCCCAGCCTTGTCACACATCGCAGCTTCCAGTGCATTTGCGGCTTCCTTGCAACTCGAGTCAACTTGGCACACACACACAACATGGAACGCACTCGTCAGGAATGTGTCAGAGGTCAACTCTCCTGCCCTTCAAGGCTAGTCGATGCGCTTTTGCTGGAACACAATGTTGTTACCCAGACACGCTAACAGCATAACCTAGCTATACCTGACAAACGGAAACTTGCAGCTTGAACACCAAACATGCTGCACCGATCCAATGCTTAAAGACCATGAACAAACAGCTGCATTGCGGGCAAGACTAAGAGCTGACCAGCAAACCAGCAAACCAGCAAACCAGCAAACCAGCAAACCAGCTAACTACCTGAGTTAGCTGAGTTGCTCGACCCAGACGAATAGAATGAATGACTCAAAAACCGACATGCCCCAGAAGCTCCCTTCAAACCGCATGTAACACTTTGAGACCCATTTGGCATGCAACTTATCCGACAACTCCTGTACGCACAA